CATAATTTCTTTTTCCCTTTATTTCCTCTTATTTTTTTCCATTTTTGTCCTAAAAAACTTAACATGCCACTAACTATATTGCAAATTTTCTTTGTGGCGCAGTCACGCCTGTAAACGAGTTGAGACGAGCTCGAGCTCGAGCCTTTAACGAGTTTGAAATCAAACTCAAGCTCGACTCATTTATCACTTATAACTAGTTGAGTTCGAGCCTTAATCAACCGAACTATAAAAAATTATATACAAATTCTTTTTTATAGTCTTAACAAGCCGAGCTTAATCAAACGAGGTTTAGATGAGCTAGAGTTGGGCTCCTTTGAGCCGAACTCAATCCTTAACGAACCAAGTTCGAGTCTTAACGAACCGAACTATAGAAAATTATGTAAAAATTCTCTTTTCGAGCTTTAATGAGCCGAGTTTAATCAAACGCGCGAGTTTTAAATGAGCTTGAGCTGGGTTCATTTGAGTCGAACTCAAAACTAACAAACCGAGTTCGAGTCGAGCCGAGTTGAATCAGAATCGTTTAATTTAACAACACTAAGCATTGAATATGTTTGCTAAACACAATAAGTTAGTTCATAGCTTGTTTAGTTACTATATAAGTTTTTTCCATTCAAATAGGTTTTGTGGGTGAGATTTTTAAAAAACACTCTCGTTAACTTTTACACGTAGTCTTTTAAAAAAGTCAATTTATTTGTTTTATTTTAATTAACTTATCATGTAAATAATTTTTTCAGCCACTTTTATTATATTAACAAGTTTTTCAGTACAAGCTATTAGTTATAAACTTGTAACTAATTTATGTCCAATAGTTGCCTTAACAGCTATTGGGTTGGTTTTCAATTAAATTTACCAAACATACATATGCCGTAGAATGTCACACTTTTATTTATATTGGTTTTTTGAAGCATGACATCTACTTTGAATCTTCATGAAAATTACATGTCTATAACAGTTAGACTAACCTACGTTAAAAATATTTTTTTAGTATAAAAATATTCAAAAACAGTTGAAAAAAAAACACACACATTAATAAAATCATGTAAACTATAAATACATTTATGGAAGTCAATGCATGTAAATTAATAAAAGTTAGTGAGGATTAGAAAAGGCATGAGTGGATAAAATACAATTTTTATAGGAAAATCTGTACTCCCTCATTTTCAAAATAAGTGTCGTTTTGACTTTTTTGATTCATCCATATTGCTATGTATCTAGACATAAAATGGATGAATCAAAAAAGTCATTTTATGTCTAGATATATAGCAAATAAATGAATAAAAAAAGTCAAAACGACACTTATTTTGAAAAAAAGGTAGTATAAAATTATCGTGATAATTTAAAATGGGATTAATATTAAATTTTACCAAAGCGTAATTTTAAAGAAAAAATTCTTGAAGTGTTCAATTGCATGTTTTTTCTATTGACAGATCTTGCATTTAATTGCATATTATGATACCATTATAACTTCATGAGGAAGATAAAATAATCAATTATTTTCATATCCTAAATAATGTGTGAGCCTTTTTAATTAACAAATCAAGAAAGTGCCAATAACTATATATGATTGTGCGGTCAAATCGAATCTTGACTACAACTCTTTCTCTCTAAAATGGTTCTTTTTACCACCAATAGAGTTGATTCAAGTAGTAACCAGTTTGATGTCGTTTAAGCAAGGTCTCGAGTTCGAGTACTGTGGATGCAGAAAACCTTAGTGGGGAGACTCACCCACCACTACCAAGTGTGCAATCCGGGTTGATTAGTCAGAGCATAACTCTAGATACCGTGACTGGTTAAAAAAATAGTTTTTTTTTTCCTTTTTTTGTTTTTTTTGTTGAGTGGATTTCAAATTAATCATTTTAATGCTTACATGAATTTTTCAAAAAAAGTGTTGCTGAATAATTACAACTAATTTATTGTGTATTATAAGTGTGTAATCATTGTCTGTGTTCTAACTTGTGATATATGCTCATAGAGCAATCAATAGACAAATGGGGACCTCTTTTCATCACTTGGGGTGCCCTAATTATAATGGAGTTAGATACAGCAAGATTGGGATGTTGGGTATTCTTTATTCTTTTGTTTTATTTTAGGAGATAAGATTAAAAAAAAAAAAGTTGTTTTCATAGAAGAGGAATCTTTTTAGTTAGAACTTAGAAACAAGGTTCTTCTCATCAAGTTAGTTATTCAATTTTATTTTATTTTGGGACATCAAAATATTTTGCCTCTTTAAGTTGAAATACAAGGAAAACAAAATGTTGAAAAAAAAAAAAAAACTTGTATGTCATTAATTGTATTGATTTATGTAATATGTATGTTTTTTGAGAGATTAAGGTCGCGACGGCTGATATGATATTGATTAAAAATACAACACAGTTAAAAAAAATACGACTTGCACAATGTGTATGAATGAAATAAATAAAAAAAATTAAGTTTGGACTTATAAGTCACATTTACAAATAAATTATTTAAATATCACAAAAAATGCGATAATTAAATACGAAAACAAGTAAACAACACAATAACATTACTTGCAATCTCTGTCAGATACTGCCCTATCAAATAATCATATTGTCTGCACATATTAAAATCTACGTGATTGTAAACTTATTCCTTGTATACTATCGATAGATTTGGATAGTTTTTGGCTCGTATTTCTTTTTACCTTTTGTTTTTATTTGTGATACTATAATAAATTATGGTACACATGATTAACTTGTTATACCATTTTCAATTTCATTCCCAATTAGATGGTATGGAAATGTTTTTCTTTTTCCCTATATATTTTCCAAAGTGTAATAAAAATTTCTCAAGAAAAATATAATACTACTATATGATTTCAATTTAATCAATTGGTGAAAAAAAAAAGTAAAATATATCTTCATGATATGATTATTGTTACCCTATCCAAAATTTTATTTTGACTGAATTAGGAGACAACCTTGGAGTTTGGAGTAGTTGTGAGTTGGGCAGTTAGCCAATAAAAGCGGGTTATAAAAATAAAAATAAAAAATAACCCCCAATAAAAGCG